GTTATTCTTTTGAGGCTCCAAACATCAGATATAGAATTGTGATGTATAGGTATAGCATGTAATGTATCATTAGCTCCCATATTTATAAATTGTATAGAAAGTATTTATAAGTCTCAATAAAAGGCAAGTCAAAAGGTATCTGAGACGACTGAGATTCCACTAGAAAGTACATGATTTTAAGAATCCAATTACAAATTGTACACAACTCTATCCGCTCTTTGTACTTCTGATAAAGGGAATTCAGTGGAACTACATATCAATCTTCAAATTACAAACTAGCCTTCACCAAAGCTAGCAGAGAAACTTATACAAAAGACAGTGCTCAAGGTTTCTGACCAAGAAGCCATGGCTGAAAGAAGAGATGGCTCTGAGCAATCTCAATGAGTTCGCGCGGGTCATTCATTGTCTCATCCCTCAGCGCCTCAAGGACCGCCTCACACGAGACCTCCCTAAAAACATCATCAAAGTGTAATTGTGACTGTGTGGTTTAGAGTTAAAATAAGCTATTACAAGTTAAGGAAATGAGGATACCTTGTTATAAGAATTCTGTAAAGCATCTTTAAGATAGGACAGAGCTCAGCTGGAGTTACAGGTTTGCCCTCTTCAGGGTGTTGAAGACTTAACGAGGACTGGTTTAACAACTCGAAAAATGCTTTCACTGCAGAGACCCCCTTTGTATACAACACCAAAATGAATTCATCATTAGCCTTCCACACAACTAATCTATGATAATCTATTTGCAATCATAATATGATAATCTACTGAACTAAAATGTATAAGATACCAATATAGGGTATGATCTATATCACTATTTCTCAGACGTGTATGGATTCTAAAATGTTTACCCTTCTTGGACACTTGCTCTGTGGACTAAATGGAAGTTACAAACTTGCAATTCCACAAGTTATCAAAATTGAACATACATAACTTGCCTGGAAATTTTGAAGCTATTTTGACACCTGAAAAATAGAAATCATTGGGATTTATAGAGTACCTGAATCATTCCCTTGCCTTTGATGCTATCACCCATTTCAAGGCTAAGTTCTCCTTTTGCAAGCTTCTGGCCATACCACGCATTACGACCTTTTAGTAATGTTACATAGGTATCCGCAAGCAAAGGTCCAGCAAGTTTCTCTGGCTCTTTGGCCAATAGATGAGTAATAAAAATCATCTCTGAAGTACAATGTGCAAAGTATACTGATTTGCTAGTAGCACTTTCCTTTGTCAGTGTAGCCACCATTCCTGTGAAACAAAAAAAAATGGTTCATGATCTCTAACCTATGATCACCAATATCAATGTTTTATTTTGAATCGCTATAGTTCAGATCCACATTTAAGAGACCTCGATCTTACCTGCGCCAATGGCATAAACATTCTTCAAGCCACCCATTACTTCGTGAGTAACGAGGTCACTATTATCCCACACTATGAAGTGAGACTGCCTTAGAAACTTTCCCAAAGGCTTCCTCCATTTCTCAGACCCGCAAATCCGTGCATTAGCGTACTCTTTGTTGTATACCTCAGAAGCAATATTGGGTCCCCCAAGGTAGAGAATGTTCTCAAGAGGAATACCAGCTACAAAGAAGGAAATGAAAAGCAATTTGTAAAATTTAAGGAACAACTCCTGAATCATGTACTGAAACACCAACACAACCATGATGCAAAAGAATCAAGGTGCTGCTTAATGACACGGTACACAATCAAGTGATCTGTTACATAACCAATACACAGTACCACCTCAATAACAAATAGACATTCTCTCTTAAAGAAGATGACACCAAATATTCATCTAGCAAGCAGCTAAAACACATAGGGGAAGTGAATTTACTCGCTCGGTAGATCATTTGAGTAGGAGTTACAATCCGAGGATGAGGCTCAAACTCAGCTTCCACACCTTTAGCCAAAGAGATAATAACAGGAGCTGTAACCCTCTCTTTCCAGTACTTACTAATCTCATTAAACACCTGAGACGTCTCGGTTGATGGTAAACCATTGATGACAATATCAGCATCCCAAACAGCTTCCTGAAGATTAGTCACAACTTTCAAAGGACACAAAGGAGTCTCAATCATATTCAAACAAAACCCATCTTTCAATATCTCATCTGCGTATAAAACCCTATCACCTAATCTAGCTTCCACATACTTGAGATAAGCACACCTTCTGATCAACCTCCTAAGCAATTCCTCTCTCGAATTGATCACTTCGAACAAATGTTCAGCTGTTGATTTATCGATTGCTCTGCCTCCTCTTCTCCAGATTCGAACACTAACTTTTCCCCTAAATATTCCGTAATTTTCCTGCAACATTGCAATGAAAACACTTCCCCAAGCACCAGCTCCTACACCTACGATCCTTAACGGATCATCATCGACTTTGCCCATTACTCTACGAATCTCGTCAAGCCTTTCTTCAATCAATTTGCTCGGAGCTGAGTTCTTATCGTTCATCGTCGTCTCCACCAAATGCTCGTCAACAAACAAACAAAAAAAATCCTTTTTTCTATCTCTCTAGAATTTTCTTCAGTGGGTTCGTTCACTTAACAACACAGCAAAGCTATAGAACAACAAGAAATCGTTGTTCCTTGCCGGATTTACCGATGCTTAAAAGATGGCTTTTTCAGGAAAGTTTGTGTGTTTACTTGTTTGCAGGTGACTTGTAAGAAAGATGAAGTTATGACGTCAGCTGGGCCCACTTTTGACATTAAAAATCTACTCTGGGCCCACTTATGGCCCACGAACTTTTTTTTGTTTCTCCCATACAAATGAAAAATTCAAGCTTTTTATGTTAAACAAAGTAAAAAGAAAGACTGATTAATGAATCATAACGATGAGTGGATAATTTCTTGAACATGGAAAAACGCAAATCTTCCGACGAACTACGACTGTGTCTGTAAAAGAGTTTAAAAGATTCTCTGGTACATTTTTTTAACTTATGAGGCAAAGTAAGTTCTTAGGGGCTAAAAACAAAAGCCTCCAAAATCATAATAAACCAACATGTTTTTTTAGACGCGAGACATGCCGAGTTTGCGTTCGAACAAGCGACGCAGAAGATAAATCTGAAGGCAACTTGCCCCGATCAGTGCAAAAGACTCGAACAGAGCTTTGTGTACTGCTCTTTTGCTCATGTTCTCGTTCACTGCACAGAAGAACAACCATATCAAACTCTCTCTCCATCTTTACTTGCAGAAGCGAAAGAAACTAATCGGTTTTTTTTTAGAAAGAAGTGTTACCGATAGCTTGGCGATCTGTCTGAGCCTCTAACCAATGTTGTTCAAATTGGATGTTGTAAAGAGCCTCCTCTAACTTTGATATTTGCTCCATCAATGGAGTGAAATGCTCTGCATCAAACCATCTTCAGCTAAATAGATAATAACTCAATATCGAACAAAAACTGATACAAATCCAAACAGATGTTCCTTACCGTCCTTTGCGTGCTGATCGTAGTATGCAAAGTGGCCAAGCTGTACATCAAAGTCAATGGTCTCGTGATAAGGAGACTTGTTTGTGAAACAAAAACGATAAACCCCTTTCTTTTGGACAACAAAGTCGTGCTTTGCGCTTATCTGCTCCCTGAAGTCATGAATTTGTTCGCCTGTCGGGCCGTGTATCTGTTCAAAATCCAAAATATATCACCACAAATATGTTTATCTCACTCAACATTACACTAGAGATTCAAAAGATATGTCATATTAGGCTCGTTGTAATAACATGTCTAACAAATACATCATCACAATTGGTTACTCAAAATCACACAAGAGAATCGT